TGCCTGGCTGTTTTTAGAGACCAGCATCTCTCTATTGCTCAGGCTGGTCTCCAACTCCTAAGGTCAAGCACTCCACCTGCCTCAGCCTCCCAGAGTGCTGGGATTAGAGGCAGGAGCCAAGGACCATGGCGCCCCTCCTATTTATACATATTTTAAACTTTGTATTTGTTGTCTGTCAAGTTTCTATAGAAATACAACTCTGAACAGAATAATACTGTCCCAGTACTTCAAAATGATAGCCAACACCTATGACACTGACAAAATTAAACTTGACAGTGAGCTTCAGGCAAACTTAGCCTGAGAGCCACTCCCTCCAAACCTCCTCCTTGCTCAGTTGTGGCTAAAAGGTTTTTGACAGACTCTTGGTTATCAATCACTTCCCTCTAGTGGGGCATCAGACCAACTGGGCAGGTCCACCCCAGCACTAAGTGACAATCAAAACTAACCACAGGATGACTGATCAGTGATGCTTTGGGGAAAAGATCTTGATCAGAAGAGGGAAAAAGCGGTCCACAGCACAGTGGAGTCCCCCATGTCAAAACAAAACTAACTGGAACCAAGAGGCCGCGAGGTGAGGGCCTTACACACAATTTGCCTGATGACAGGAACTATTGCAAGAAATTGCACCAATCTGCAACTTTGCACAAAGAACCACAACCTTGCACAAAGGCCACTTCTACAAGCCCCTACTCTGCCTATTCAGCTTTGGGCTCATGCCACCCATGTTATTAATTCTTGTAGCCAAGGATTATTATTTTAAAACAATTTATGTAAGCTTCCTCATTTTGGCTCTGTCTGTGAAAGCACATAGTGAATGGTACCTGTCTCCGATGGCTGTTCTCTGACACCCCACCGCTGGGGAACGGGTGTGGAGCGGAGAGGGGCTGGGACAAAGGGCCCTACGTGGCACAACTTGCTACCTGCTACCTGCCACTCCACTTCCTCCGAGGAGGAGCTGGTGGCAACAGGAAGCTCCTCAGGCCCAGAGTCTCTGCCTATGTCCTCCATTCATGGCCCAGAACCTGCCTATGGAGAGTCACAGAGCCCCCAGCCCACTGGGACACAGTGCTGGATATCCAGGACAAGGGAGGGTGAGTGCACAAGGCCCTCCACATCCACACAGGCTTTCAAAGGGGCCCATTCCATTCTTGGCTTTTCCCCCAGAAGCAGCCTTTGCCTTTCCAGAGGGAGGCACCTCCCATGACTCGGGCCCTGGGGTGTCTGGCAGGAAGGGGTCTCAGCACCATCCACTCCGGGGTCCCCTTCAACCAGGACTCAGCTCTATAGGGCACTGGGGAACCATCACGGGTGAGGACACCAACTGAGCTTTGGCACATGGGTGCTGGAGCCCAGCAAGGCCAGGAGGAAGCTGGGGGCTTACAAGGCCCCCTAGGCTGATGGGTAGGGTCCTGGTATGGGTGGCCATACAGGAGGGTCCTAGGGCCTGGTCCTGGGGCCTTCTGCACCAACCTGCCTCATCCTGCCTGAGCCAGTCCCCTCTTCCCTGCATGTCTCCTCTGTCGGCCCCGTGAGTTTGTCTCCCAGACCACACTGTGTGTGCCTGTGTGTGCATCTGTGAGTGTGCATGGTGTGAGGGTGTGTGTGTGTGTGGGGGTGTCTGTATCTGTGTGGTGGGTGTGTATATGTGTTCATGTGTGTGGTGTGTGCACATGTGAGGGTGTGTGCTGTGTGTGCTTATGTGGTGTGTGTGGTGTGACTGTGTGTGGTGTGTGCATGGGTGTGGTGTGTGCCTGGGTGTGGTGTGTGCTTGCGTGTGGTGTGTGACTGTATGTGATGTGTGCCTGGGTGTGGTGTGTGACTGTGTGGTTTGTGCCTGGGTGTGGTGTGTACCTGCATGTGACGTATGACTGTGTGTGGTGTGTGCATGGGTGTGGTGTGTGACTG